GCCTGGATCTCCTCCTGGACACATTGGTGCTGATGAGCTCCCGGGTGCTGACCACGATGGTCCCCACCATAACCCCTCGCTCCGGGCTGGTTCCCGGGCGGCTCGTCACGTGCAGGCGCTGGGATGTTCCCTATCCCGGTTCCTTCAGCTCGAGTTTTCGCTCTGCCTGTGGGTTTTTCATCCTTGTGATGCTTCCCCCCCCCTCCTTCTGACACCAGGCTCCGTGTCCCTGCCTCGGTGTCACCCAGCCGCCGAAGGAAGCAGGCGGTTATCTCCACCCCAGCGTGGGAGGGGGCACGACGTGGTGGCAGGCGCTTGCATCTTCGGCTTGCCACCATAACCCGTGGTAGATGTTGGGTGGGGAGAACCTCCCTGCATCCGCCGCGGGTTGATGGATGTGTTTTGGTGCCTCCCGCTCACCCTCCTCTTCCTCCACCAAGCAAGTAAGTACAAGGCGCTCGGTTTTCCCTGGGTGGTGGAAGGGAAGGAGCCCACGGCGAGGTGGGGGGGGGGGATCAGGGTGGTTTTTGGGATTCCCAGGAGAGCGGGGACAGGGCTGCCACGTGGGGGATGCGTGGTGCCATGTTGCAGCTCCGCAGGGGTGGACTTTATCCCAAGGATTTGGGCAAACCGGGGTGAAAGGTGTCCAGCGTGACCCGGTGCTCCCATGTGGTCCCCTCTGCTAATGAGTGAATGCATCAGGTCTCAGCTCCCACCTGGGCTCTGCCCAGATGTGCACTGGCCCCCGAGCTTGCCGTTCTGCTCCGCCTTTGGGGTCTGTTCCCCTGCCTGGTGTCTCTGAGTTTTCCTCCTTGCTTTGGAGGTTTTGTCGCGGAGTGTTTAGGGCTGTTTGGAAGAGGAGACATTTTCTGCCTATTTTTAGGCCAGGGGAAATGGGCAGAGATGCCGGCTCTGCCCCGGCCCCCTCCCCGCAGCCTTGAGGAGGGGTTTTCTGCCGGATGAGCCCTCCAGCAGCGCCCTTATCTGCTGGCTCAGCAGAATTTCCTTCGTCAGGTTTATCTCCCCAACCAGCTTTTCCTTGCACGCCGTCGGAGATGCCCGGTCTCGACATCCCGGAGGCGTCCCCGCAGGGTCAGACAGCGGGAAGCAGAAATGCAGAGCCCTGGGGAGAGGTGACGCCCGCGGGGGCTGGCTGCCCAGCCGAGCCAGGGTCGGTTCTCCTTTCAGGAACTGGGGGAAAAAAAAAAAACCCTCCGTCCCCAGCCCAGACTGGGAAGCACTGATTTTTAAAATGAGAAGTAACCAAGATTAAGAGGGAAATATCCTCCCTCTCCTCAGAAGTGGGGAGAAGCAGCTGCACATTTGGGGAAGCGGCCACCGATTTGCTTGCCAGCTGGTGTAGGTGAGCTTGGCCTTTTGGGCTGGTGATGACTGGGAGCTGCCTGACCTTTCCGAGCCATTGCAAACTCCTCCTTGCGCTTTCATTTTACACCTCAAGGCTCCGTCCCTTGCACCCCCCTTTTTGCACGTGGGAAGCAGCGGGGGCGTCCGGAACCTGGTGCCGCTGGCTTCACGAGGCTTTGGGGGATGCGAAAGCACAGGTTGTCCTGAGGGACGCTCAGCCCACAGCCTCAGAGGCCATTAGTTCATTTAAAATAAAAAAGATCCCCTAATTAGGGGGATCACCCGCGGCGGAGCGGTTCCTCGGTGCTCTCTGCATCCAGCAGCATGTGTCCTCATCCCCAGGGATGCTCCGGAGGGTTTGGGCGAGCTGGCAATGGGCGCTGGTAGCCCAGAAAGCCAAGCATCTCCTGGGATGCACAAAGTGGGTCCTGCATGGTGAGGGAGGGGATGCTCCCCCTTGGCTCTGCTCTGGTGAGACCGCCGGGGCCCTGTGTCCAGCTTGGGGGTCCCCAGAGCGGGAAAGACACGGCCCTGTTGGAGCGGGACCAGAAAGAGCCACGGGAATGAACCCAGGGCTGGAAGCCCTCTGCTGCAAGGAGGGGAGGAGAGGGTTGGGGTGGCTCAGCCTGGAGGGGAGACGGCTCCAGGGAGACCTTTCAGTACTTGTAAGAAAGGTGGGGACGGGCTTTTTAGCAGGGTCTGTAGCGATAGGAGAAGGGGTAATGGCTTTAAACTAAAAGAGGGGGGATTCAGACTGAATATAAGGAAGAACCGTGTTGGGCTGAGGGCGGTGAGATGCTGGACCCGGCTGCCCAGCGAGGTGGTGGATGCCCCATCCCTGGGGACATCCCAGGTCAGGTTGGATGGGGCTGGGAGGAGCCTGATCCTCTTGAAGATGCCCCTGCCCGTGGCGGGGGGGTGGCTTGGCTGAGCTTCCAACCCAAAGCAGTCCCTGATGCTGTGACTTTACCCTCAGCTGAACAGAGGTACCGTGGACTCTTTGCATACTCAGCCAATGCCACACAATCCTCCACTGACCCATGTCTCTTCCAATGACCATGGACCTTGAGGGTTCTCACCTCCAACAGGCACAAGGGGGGTCCACCATTGGCCCTTCCTCAACCACCCCATACCCCTCCACGGCATCCCATCTCCCCCTGGGCACCATGGCCAGGCATCCTAGGAGAGGAGGAACACAAGGAGACTCAACTACAATGCAGCAAAAACTTTAATGAGTCTAAAGAGCAAAAGCAAGCAGTGCGTGCTGGAAGGGACACGGCCCACGCTGCTCCAAGGGCAGCTGACAGACAGACACCCCTTCGCAGCCATGGCACACGCGTCTTCCTCCCACACACGGGCGGAGAGGGGGATGAGCAGGGCCCCGCTCAACTTGCTTCAGGATGAACCCATGGCACAGGACAGCAGCAGGCAACAGGGGCTCACGATGCACAGAAGAATGCAGGAGTAGAAGACGACATCAGGTGGCCAAGTTTCCAGACAGCACAGGAGGACACCTGGCTTTGTCGGAGGCCACGAGGGTTCTTGGCCCCTCTGGAAACCTGGCCAGAAGCTCCATCCTCAGTCCGGCACCTGGCTTTGGGCTTCCTGGTCAATGCACTCATGGGACATCAAGACCGGCTTTAGCAGGGCAGGCACCTTCTGCCGTAGGAGCGGCCACCAAGGCCAGAGAGGTTGAAGCCCCCGGAGGAGATGGGCACTCCCTCCTCGCTCAGGATGCTGCCCACAGCAGCGGAGGTGGTGGATCCCACAGCGGTGTTCTGGGGGAAGGAGCTGAGGATGGGTCCGGGCAGGGTCACCACCATGGGCGAGGGCTGGATCACCATGCGGGAGTCCTGGCACTGCCCCTCCGTG